TGTGTCACCAGATGTTGGGGAGCTCCTTCAGTGAGCGTAGGATGGCTGTCACAGGCCCTACCTTCAATATCACAGGGGAGCTGGGTGCAGTGGTTCACACCTGTCATCCCAGCGGTTCAGGAGGCTGAGGCAGGAGGATCACAATTTCAAAGTCAGCTTCAGCAAAAGCGAGGCCCTAAGCAACTCAGTGAGGCCCTGTCTCTAAATAAAAAAATACCAGAAAGGGCTGGGGATGGGGCTCAGCAGTCAAGTGCCCCTGGGTTCAATCCACAGAATCAAGAAATAAAAAGATCACAGGGGACCAGAGCAGAGAAGTCATAACAGGGTGTGACCTGTGTTACATTAAGGAGTGGATAGGAGAATGCAGGGGCCCAGACTGGGCAGGGGGTGGGAAATACAGTCTGTGAGTCCACCCTGCCCTGGACAGACTGACACAGTGGTCCTTTCTCTATGTTCAAAATGAGCCACTGAATGGCTTGGATCATATTCCCGTTCCGTGTTTCTTGATTCTCTGGCCTCCTGTGGCCCCCATCCCCCAGCCTCCACCCCTCCAATGGAGGCATCTTGACCGATTCTTGCAGGGGAGGGAGGGCCTTCACTTGCCCCTTGCCAGTCAGTCTGACTCAGCTCCTTGGTGCTGTCTAATGCCGTCGAATGTTCTTGTACGACGTGGGAGCTGAGGTCAGCGCTGCACACCTAGTACATTCCCAGGGTCAGGAGTCGCCAGTGGGGTTTTGCATCCTGTGTGCCCAACGTGCCACACGGGGTCTAGAAGCACACCCCAGGAGGGCACTGTGTTGGCTGGGGACCGTTTTCATTCATTGGCAGGGGGACTGCTTGTGCCCATGGTGAGGAGCCACTCGCTAGCCTGGCCCCGCTGAGTCAGGGACGCTGAGGGACAGGGTCTGCCTCTCTGGAAACTCACTGACTGGCTTGGCTCCCAGGTGCCCCTCTCCACCCCTGTGTGACCCAAGGCAAGCCATTCACCTTTCTTGGGTTTCTGGAAGATGAGGACCGTGCTAGTCTCTGCTCCTCTCTCTCCGGGGAGACCACCCATGCCAAACCCCAGCCATGGGACTCAGCATTGAGAGAATTGAGCCATTTAAAAAGAAAAATCGATATTTCCCCAAACTCTGATGTGGTTGGCTGGGAGACGCCGTCACAGCAAGAACCACTGAAATGCAGGTCATCGGTGCCTGTGAAATGACGTGCTCCTTTCATGTTGGTTGATGGAAAGAAACATCCTGATTTCAGAGATGTGAAAATATGGCGGGGAACAGGCCTCTTGGCATGCAGGCTGTCTTGGCTTTGGGTACTCATCCTACAGGGTCCCAGCTTTCCAAGACCCTTCGGACCTGACACCCATCTCTGGAACCTTAAGGTCATGATGCAAGCCACCTGCAGCATTGCACCATCAACCCCAGGGAGAGGGGACTGTCACAGTTTGAATGTGTCCCTCCAAAGTTCATGCACTGGAAACTTAATCCCTCAATGGCATTTGGAAATGGGGCCCTGGGAAGGTAATCAGGGTTACATGAAATCCTGAGTACCTGTGTCCCCATGAAGGTGTTGGGGCATTAGAAGAGGAAGAGAGACCCAAGTTAGCACGCATGCTCCGTCTCACCGTATCATCTCCTCCATGAAAGGGCCAGCCCCATGCTTGAGACTCCGTAGTCCCCCATATTGTAATTTAAGGTAACCTCAGTTCTTTATAAATCACCTAGCCTGTGGCATTCAGTTATAGTCTCAAAAACCAGACGAAGACAGGAGTGATGAGAGATGAATCCCCCCAGCCACCTCCCATAGACTGGGGCTGGAGTTGGGGGAGGTCTGCGTTAGACACTTTCAGTGCTTTGAAGCAGGTGTGGGTTTTGAAAGGGATTCAGGCACTTGCTCTCTGAAGCTGGAAAGTTCTCCTTTGGCCAACCTGAACAGTCATTTCCTACCCACTGGGTAAGAAATATTTCAAGTCCACTGGGGCTTGGCTGACCTGGGCCGGGGTTTGCTCCTCCTTGGAGCAACCTTGTGTTGATATGGCTTTTTATAAGGCTGAAGCCCCTGCTCCGACATAGACTAGATCAGGGCACCCAATTATTGGTACAATATCTCTCTCTCTCTCTCTCTCTCTCTCTCTCTCTCTCTCTCTGTCTTTCCCCATGGTCTTTCATTCCAGCCCTAGGCTACCTTTCCTCCCATACCTATCCACCAATGGCCCCCTGAGCTGGTCTCCTTCTCTCTGGCTTGTGGTCTGGGTCAGCCTCCAAGAGGGACACTGAGGTTCACCGAGCCTCTGCCTCCGGCTTACAAATCCCCCTTAATTGGCCACTCCCTGCAGGTAGGCTTGTCCCCGGCCTCTCTCACGCCCTTTGAGGTGCCTCTCTCTGGTACCCCTGCAGGCCAGTGACTTTGAGCAAAGCCGCTCCATTTCCTGATTTGCAAACACAGAAGCTTTCTTCAAAGAGCATCTTCTCTTTCTTGTCCCCCACCTCTAGAGCTTAGTTCAAATATCCAGGTCACTGGATGTCACCTAGCTCCTCTGCCCAATCCAGGGCTACTGTGCAAATATCAGGCCCCTGTGTCCCCAGAGTTTCTCGCCAGGCCTGACGATTATCCTAGATGGCTCCAAAAGGCACAACAGACTCCAGATACTATGCCGGGTCTTCCCTGGGGACTCTGGTCTCTCCCACTGGCCCACAGGGACCCAATGCAGTGTTCTGAATGTCCCAATAGAGGAGGGGCTCCCCATTCAGATGTAGGGACCACAGAAGGAGGATGTCCCTTGTGCCAGCGCCGGGCTAGGCTGAAAGAGGAAGACGGATGGATTGTCCCTGCTTGTTTATCACAGGGACCTCCTTTCCACGTCAAACCCAGCGTGGCCATTCAGATGCAGTCCACCGTCATGGGCCTGAGTGCCCTTGGCTGTCCACTCTCCACCATGTCGTCCAAGACACAGGTCACCTGGTGCCATCTGCTTGCCGAGCCACAGACTCTATTTTCAGCCACCTGACCAGAAGTCCTGGGGGAAGGCGTGGGATTCCAGATGGACAGCTCAGAGGCTGGGCACATCGTGTCCTTCTCAGGGCCCGAGAGTCGGGGACAGTGAAGGGAGCCATTCCGGAAAGGACGCGCCGCTCCGTGATTGGACAGAACTTCCCAGAAACCCTGGTTCACCTGAGCAGCATCTCTCAGCGCTCAGTGGTCACCCCTCTGTGGCTCAGAGGTAGGGCGCTCAACGACATTGAGAGAAAGCCATTCCCTTTGGGTCTTGAGTGGTAGTGAGAAAATCTCTCCCTTTCCGTCGCCTTTAATGCTTGTGGTTACGTTGAACACCTACCCATTGCCAACCTGTCTTGGTTTCACCAGGGGTGACCAGGACCCAGGGAGGACTCAGGATTCCGAACTCCCTTTAGCGTCCACTCATTTGTTATTATAACACTCATTTGTAACCTTCCAGTCTTCCATTCTTGACAATTGGTGCAGATTTTCTTTTTCTTTTTATTTTTTTTTGTGTGTGGGCAGTTTCAGAGATTGAACTCAGAGGCACTCGACCCCTGAGCCCCATCTCCACCCTTATTTTGTATTTTATTTAGAGACAGGGTCTCATTGAGTTGCTTAGAGCCTCACTTTTGCTGAGGCTGGCTTTGAACTCATGGTGCTCCTGCCTCAGCCTCCTGCACCGAGCCACTGGGATGATAGGTGTGTGCCACTGCGCCCGGGCAGATTTTCTCTTTAAGGTATTAGCAATGTAATTTTCCTGTTAAATAAATGTATTTAAATGCAACAAGGTATCCAAATGCATAGGTTCCAAATAGATGGGCTCAATAACCATTGCTTGAAAACATAAAAAATAACAGTTCAAGCTAGATACAGTGGCACATGCTTGTAATCCTAGTAGCTGGGGGGGGGGCGGGGGCAGGTGGATTGTGAGTTCAAAGCCAGCCTCATCAACTTAGCAACGCCTTAAGCAAATCAGTGAGACCCTGTCTCTAAATAAAAAAACAAAATAGGGCTGGAGATGAGGCTCAGTGGGTGGGCACCTGTGAGTTCTATCCCCAGTACAAAAAAAAAAAAAAATCCTAAAAAACAAAAACCAAATTAGCCTGAAATATATATGAGGCCGTGCACAGGTTCTGTGTAAATGGAGGGTGGTAGCAATGTAGTTTTCTTTTAAATAGATAAGACCAGGGGGCTGCAGAGTCCATGGGCTGATTTAAGGGACTTGAATTTTGGTATTCACAAGGGGCCTGGAACCCATTCTCTGTAGATACCCAGGAATGGCTACCAATGCATTTAAGTATCCAAAAGGTGAATTGCTACAGAAACAACCCTGACTAGTGATAATTCAAGCAGTGCATGGATTTGGCATAAATCATGAAATAGTATTAGAAGACGCAGTTCTAGCCAATCCCTCCAGGCGGAGACCCAGACCCTTAGTTCTGTCTTTCTGCAAAGATGATGGAGCCTCCCGTGTTCCAGGCGCGGTGTGAGGCACGAGGCGTATCAGGAGCACCTGGTCTCTGCATTGCGGGAGTTTCTAGGTTAACCAGAGTCTGCAAGGGTCCCAGGGGGCTGGAGAGAGAGATGCCCCAGGCTACATGGAGCAAAGGAACCGGTGGGTGTCAGTTCAGGACTTTCACTAGAGGGACAGACAAGGTCAACAGCAGACCAAAGAAATGCTTCTGGCTTCCAACGAGGTGCTACGCCCACCCCTGTCCCCTCCAGTGCCACTGTCAGAGGCTCCTGGCTCTCCTGGTGGCCTCCCACGTCTAAACAGCAGATCGCGCACCAGAGTCTGCAGTGATGGGTTCTAGAACTATCTGCTGACCGACCTCTGTCTTTCCTTATTGCCTCCTCCCCTTCCCCAGGGCTGCCTGACCTTGCCTGGTCCTTGTGGGATCCAAGCACATCACATATGGAGGCACTCAATACGAGTCCGTGAACAACCGAGTGCCTTCCTGTGGGAGAGTGAGCGAACATCGCATCTTCTAGGTGCCACCTACCTGGTTAGAGACCAGGGGGCTGCAGAGTCCAGGGGCTGCGACCTTGAACTCCAGAGTCAGGCTGAGGGAGCTGCGGACCCAGCTTTGCTCATTTCCGTGTGACCCGTTGGTCTCAGTTTCCCCATCTGTGAAACGGGAACAGTGGAGCCATCTGCCCACCTGCGGGAAGCATCTGCCGCCGTGAGGGATCCAGAGGCCACGTCGTGCCTCCCAGGCCGTGGAGAGGCGGCCCTGCTCTCCTGCTGGCCTGCAGAGGCAGAGGATGCCAACTCCCCGGCAACCACCGATGCTGGCCGGGCTCCCAGGGTATCTGGTCTGCGCAGAGAGAATCTGCCAACGAGGCCTCGGGTAGATCCCGGCTGACCACCCTCACCGTGGGCTTGTGTCGCTTTCATTTCCAATAAAACCAGGCTCTGTCGCCAGACCCATGGCGCTGGCCCCTGGCCACCATCAGCGACCCTGGAAGGGAGATGGCCCCCGCCGCCGCTGTGGGCAGCGCCCGGGTCTGCGCGCCGCTCTGATTCACCCTGGCCTCCCCTGTCCGTCCACTTGGCCGTGTGATTCATCTCGCCAATTTAATAAAAAGGGCTTTCTGGCCGCCGCCCAGCAAGGCCCGCGACAGGCAGGAGCCCTCTGAGGTTTAAACCAGGCCAGGCCTTAATGAGGGCACCATCAAGATGGCTCTGTCTCCGCGATTAGCATTTCAAAGTGAATTCCGCGGCTGTCAGCACGGGCCTGGCGCAGGGCTGGGAGCCCAGAGGGGGGATCGGGAGGGAGAGGCAGCACCGGGCTCCAGCTCAGCGATTCCTGGACGCCCTCTTCCTGCCAAGCCTGTGGCAGGGGGTCAGCTTGAGGGCATCCTGCACTGTCTGTCTGTCTGTCTGTCTGTCTGTCCAACTCTAACCCTGAGCCCTCCCAAGGGCTTGGACCTCCGTCTGCTCTCACCTCGGCCGGCCCACCCCTCAGCCCACGGCTCTGCAGTCAGTGCTTACTGACTGCATGCGTTCTAGCACCTTCCACGAGCCAGGAGACACAGGGACCCGTCCAGGCCCAAAGCCCTGGATCTTGAATACAAACCACACTGGCCCCCATCGCAGTGGAAAGTAAAGACATGAAGATTCTGAATCGGGAGACTCTGACTTGCTCCCTGTTCCCACTGGGTGTGATGGTGCACGCCTGTCATCCCAGCAGCTCAGGAGGCTGAGGCAGGAGGATTGCAAGTTTGAGGCCAGCCTCAGCAACTTAGCAAGGCCCTAAACAACTTTGTGAGACCCTGTCTCAATATAAAAAATAATAATAATAATAAAATGGCTGGGGAGGTGGCTCAGTGTAAGTGCTCTGGGTTCAATTCCCAGTACCAGAAAAAAAAACTGTGTGTGTGTGTGTGTGTGTGTGTGTGTACATATGCACACACTGGAGATACGGTAGTGAACGTGTGCAAATAACGTTTTAGAGCAGATAGTGATAAAGATGCTAATAACACAGTGTTTTGGCAGAGGCTGACAAACTGCTTCGTTTATCTTCTCCTTCTCCTTCCTCTTTTGTTTTCTGGTCCTGAGGATTTAAATCAGGGGCATTCAACCCCTGAGCCAGTGTCCTCATCCCCAAGTAAATGGGCAGCTGGGACCACGGGGGGACTCCCACACTCTACCCCGTGGGTCCTCCAGGTCTCGGGGATCTGTCAGACCCCGGATGTCCACCTCCACCTCCACTTGGGGGATTCTGTGCGCCTCTCCACCCCAGAGTGGCACCCCTGTGTGGGTCAGTGGTACAAACGATTCCGAAGTCAAGCAAGACGCCCACGGGCCTGGTCCTGAGGTCTGGAATTTACTTTGGAATGCCTCGCTGATGGAGAGACGTGGCAGAGCAAGGGCAGAGGCCCCCTGAGACCCAGGGGGGTGCGGTGGGTATCAAGTTCCACCTGTCGAATGGTGCAGAATTTGCACAGGACCTGTGCACGTCTCCCTGCCTTGAACCACCTCCAGATCACTCCTTCCGTCACAAGTGCCTGTGAATAATTGTCAAACTGTATTGTTTACAGAATCTCAACGAGAACAATATCTGTACGTGTCCAGGACACATGCATGTTGCTTAAAATTTATTTATTTATTTTTCAGTCCATGTTTGGATCCACAGGTGGTTAACTCGGGAATATGGAGGCCAACTGTATGTGTGGAAAGTGCTGGTGGGAGAGTCTAGTTGGTGGGTTCATGGTCAGTTATTCAGTGTCACGTTCTCTTAACTTCTAAAAGAGTTTGTCATAAGAAGTCCTGCCAGGCCCGGTGGCACACGTCTGTCATCCCTGCTGCTTGGGAGGCTGAGGCAGGAGGATCGCGAGTTCAAAGCCAGCCTCAGCAATTTAGTGAGGCCCTGAGCCACTCAGTGAGACCCTGTCTCTAAATAAAATACCAAATAGGGCTGGGGATGGGGCTCAGGGGTCGAGGGCCCCTGAGTTCAATCCCTGGGACCTTCCAAAAAAAAAAATCGGGTGCAGGGGAGCGGCATTGTCCTCTGGAGCCTCTACACCATTGCTCTCTGTGTTCCCTCCCCCAAGATTGTGACTAGACAAGGGACAACAATGAGAAGAGGAGGGACACATCACAGCACTTACTGTGTGATCTGGGCCACTTAGTTAACCAGGCAACCTCAGTTTCCTCATCTGTAAGCTGCTGATCCCTGTCTGGGTTTTTCTATGCATGCAAAGTGCTTGGCCCCAAACCTAGCTCACGGAGGTGGAGAGTGACTGTTCAGAGAGGTTAAGTGGTTTGTCCCTGGTCACCCAGCCAGCATGTGGACTCAGGTTTTCCTGACCCTGAGACAATGCTCAGCCTGTACGCTGCTTAAAAATCATAGCTCTCTGCAGCCGATACACCGAGGGGAGAAGCTTGTCTTCCCTTAATTACATTAAAAGATGTATCATGTGCGTGAAACCCAGCAAGCCGTAATCCACGGGGCCTGCTGCATCTTAGACAGAATTTCAGAGTCAGTTGCTCAGATGTGGTGGAGATGCTGGTGCTGGCCCGGAAGGGCACCCTGTCAATCATCTGTCCCTCTCTGGAGAGCGAGGGCCCAGGGCTGTTTGCAGCAGGGTGGTCTGGGACAGGCTACAGCAGATTTTGTTAGGCGCCCCTGGGAGAGGGGAGCGCCTTGGGGAAGACCACCTCTCTTCACCGTGACTTTGAAAGTGGGGAAGAAAAGAGGGCCCTCATATTGAGCTTCCTGCACCTGCTGTATGTTATGTCACCTGCAGGTCTTGACAAACACGCACGTTCTCCGGCCCCACCACAGAGGGGGTCCTCAGAGGCTTCCATGTGGGGCCTGAGCCTGCCCCTCAAAGATGTCCCAGAATGTCCTGGAGCCACAGAGAGCCACCATGCTCAGTCCCCAGGGTGCTGTGGAAGGGCCAGGATTTCTATGTCTATTTTGTGGGTGAGATGAACTGAGGTTCCGAGAGGCTAAGAAAATTTGTCCAGGGGTCACGTAACTTACGTAGTGAGATTGATTCTGCTTTAAGGAGAAAAATCCCAAAACTTAAAGAGAGATTGAATAAGTAGCTTATTGCTGTCTGAATCAAAACTGGAGGAAAGCAGTTTGGGGACCCAGGCTCGGCTCCCTCTGGCCTGGCATCCTGTCACCTGGACACCAGGCCTTCTCCTTGTGGCTCAGAAGTGATGCCAAGCCAGTCACCGTCCCTACCTTTGAGGCTTTAGGAGAAAGGAAGAGGGGGATGCGCGCTGGAGTCTTAGAAACCACTCACGCTTCTGCTTTCCTTGAGCATAACTTACTCCTGCAGCTCTGTCTAGCCCCAAGGAGCCTGGAAAACACAGTCCTTAGCCCCAATTTTAAGACCAGATAGTCCCTTCTTATAGAAGAGAAGGAGAAGGGTTGAGGAGAAGACGCTGCCAACAGAAGCTGGACTGTGCTTTTGGACCTTCAGAGCTGTGAGCTGAATAAACCTTTTTATAAACTACCTATCCTCAGGTATTTTGTTATAGCAATGGAAGTGGAATAAGACATAGCTAATGCAGTCACAATTCAAATACAGGCCAGTTTCTTAGTTCTAGAATTTTCCCTTCCCCACATGGTGTTGTAAACATGAGTATAGAGTCAAGAAAGAACTTTTCCTTCCTCCTCCCTTTTCTTCCTTCCCTCCTGAATGCTCTTTAAATACGCTTCATTGTGGCAAAGATATTTGAATTCATGCATGATGGGGAAAACATCACAGCTTCCCTATCACCCTGGGCTGGTTGCACAGTGTCAACCAACCCTGGACAATACTTGGGGGAAATGACAGGATGCCACATGTGTCCCACACACCCTCAGGATACAGGCCCAGCTGCTGCTGATGGAGACAGACGTGGTCCTGCCTTCTCGCCCTGGGGGCTGCTGCTCTTCTGTGGGGTTTCAGTGTCCATCCCTGTGCTGTTCAGAGGTGATCCCGGGACTAGGCACCCAAGGCTGCCCCTTGCACACCATTCCTCCTGCCCGCATGGAAGGCTCCCTCCACAAGCTCTGTTTCTCACTATGACGGGCCCTTTGCTCTCTCTTTCTCCTTGCATCTGCACGACAGACAGGATGATGCATCTGATCAGGGACCATATGATTGTCCCCCATCCCCATGAAAGACCAGCGAGCATCATCGTCCAGTGCAGACGTGGACAAACCTTAGCTCTCCAGCCTCAATAAGACCACTCGGCTCACAGAGCAGGAAGCAGCCACAGACCATACGTACCCACAAGGCTGTGTTTTGATAAATCTGTGTTTGCAAAAGCAGGTGAAGGCTGCTGAGGCCCTCTGGCTACATAGTTGGCTGACCTTGGCTTAGCGATCAAGGGCACAGACTGGGTCCAGCAACAGTTCCTGCCAATCCCAGCATTCCCATCTCCTAGGGTGAGATGGGGATGATCTACCGAATCTCATTGGCCCCCAGTTTTCCTGCCCCTCACATAGCGGTAAACATATTTACTTCCTCCACTTAGGATAATAAGGTCTCTTCTCTGACTGAGCTTGCTCAGACCCCAGGACCTTTGAACTTGCTCTGCTCTCCCTTCTGCTCCTAAATACCCTTCCCTCCAGCATAGCATGCTGCTCCGTTTTGTCATTTAGGGTGTTTAGTCACCTTCCTAGAGATTTCCCTGGTATCACTGTCCAAAGTAATAAAACTGCTAGCCCAGGACATGGCAGGTGCCTATGCAAAGTTGGTTAGAGCTTCAAGGTTAATCTTCTGGCACAGAGGGAAAGATGTGATTTCTGCGACCCAGATATTCCCTGTACTGGGGCTACCACTTTCTTCCCTTCTCCAGCATGCTCAGAGCAGGTCACATGTGGGATCTAAGATTCAAGACCGGGAGAATCAACCCATCTTTTCCCATCCTAGTCAGTAGGTCCTCCTCATCTGCCCACCCTACACCTGCAGATCCAACCAACCAACAGATAGAACATATTTATATATATTTTAAAGTTGCATCTGTAATGATAGATACAGACATTTTGGGGGGTCATCATTCCCCCCAAAAAAATACAGTGTAAAAAACTAATTGCATAACACTTAATATAGACTATTAAGTATTAAGAACAATCTAGAACTGGACATGTTGGCACATGTCTGTCATCCCAGCCGCTCGGGAGGCTGAGGCAGGAGGATCACAGGTTCAAGGCTAACCTCAGCAACTTGGTGAGAC